AACCACCAAACCCACTTGCTTCTTTTTTACTTTTGCAGAGGGTAAGACATCTACATTGATATTTGTACCCAGCTTTTGCAGCAAGCTTCCCACTCGCGCAACTCTTTGCTCGAGGTGCTAGCTAGCACGTTGACTTATGTCCTCAGCTTTCTGATTTTTCCTTCAGCTTCTGAGCAACACATAAACTTTACACATCCCTGTTTCTTCAACAAATCCTCTGCTTCGACATTATTAGCCAAACAAGTCTTGTGGTTGATTCAGTGTCCATCTTTACTAGCCTGAGTGTTTTAAGACTTAATATTTCAAAAAGACTAGTTTATTTAGGGCTAAGAGTATCCTTTCTCAAGTTATGTCTGGAAGAGTAATTCAATCTCAATCTTTGCTTAGGCATGGTAAAAGGTGGCTGGTAGGTACATGGGAACAAATTCATGTTTGGAGTGATAATTGGTTCCCAACAATGCCACCAGAGCCAACAACTAACCATGGTCTCATCTAAAAGCCAGATGTTATGGTTTAGTGATCTTATGATTCCAGGAACAAGGACATAAATTATTAAAATCCGGATGCATTGGTATGTCCAACTGACGTTAGTAACATCGTCATGATGCAACCCAATATCACCAAAGTGATATATTATTTTGGGTTCATACAAACAATGGTATGTATTCAGTTAAATCTAGCTATCATCGTCATAAACAACTATCAAATGCTCAAACATCTCAACATGTACGTAAGAAATTATGGCAAATAAATATGCCAGCAAAGCTAAAATGTTATGGTGGAGACTAGCGCATAACAGCGTTGCAAAAGCTTTAATATAGAGGGATTTAAAGGTATATCAGATATGTCAATTGTGTGGTAAGGCCAATGAATCCATCAACCACATGATGCTGTAGTGTAGAGTTGTACAAGAAGTATGGGAACTGGCTCCAGTTTCAACTCCATCTTCGGGAAGGGTAATGCATAATTCGTTGCTGCAAAATGTACAACTATGGCTAACTGATTATGGGTAGTGTGGGAATGAAAACCTTTTTTTATTTATGGAGAATATAGAAAATGCTTAATTGATGAGTAATAAAGTTTTACCCTATATAAACCAACTTAGGTTGAAAGTGCACAACCAAT